AAAAAAAAAAAAAAGAAACTGTCAGACTTCTTCAAGGTGGCTATACAGTTTTTATTCTCAGCAGCTACGTAGGATGCTTCTGCTTCTGAATGCTCACCAGGATTTGGTGGTGTCGCTATTTTTTTTTTTTTTTTTTGGAGACAGTCTCACTTTGTTGCCCTCGGTAGAGTACTGGGGCATCACAAGCTCACAGCAACCTCAAACTCATGAGCTTAAGTGATTCTGTTGCCTCAGCCTTGCAAGTAGCTGGGACTACAGGCACCCACCATGCCTGGCTATTTCTATTGCAGTTGTTATTATTTAGCTGGGCTGGGCTGGGTTCGAACCCACCAGCCTTGGTGCATGTGGCCGGCGCCATAACCACTGTATTACGGGCACTGAGCTGGTTTTGCTATTTTTTAGTTCTGATACCTGTGCAGTGAGACCTTGAGGTTTTCATTTGCCTTTCCCTAGTGGCTGATAGTGTTCATTTCTTGGTGGCTTTCACTTGGGTGGAATATCTGTCTATGTCTTCCACTAATTTTCTAATTGGATTGTTTGTTTTTTACTGTTGAATTTTTTCCTCAGAATTCTTTATTTTATTTGAGCATCCTTTGTTTAATTTTTGGTTTGCAAATACTTCTTTCCAGTCTGTAGCTCTTATTTTCATCCTCTTGACAGGGCCTTATATGGAACAAAAGTTTTTAATTTTCATGGTGTCCATTTTGCCAATTTTTTTTTCTTTTCTGTTTTTTGTGACAGTCTTAGTTTGTAGCCCTCAGTAGAGTGCTTTGGTGTCATAGCTCACAGCAACCTCAAACTCTTAGGGTTAAGCGGTTGTCTTGCCTTAGCCTCCCAAGTAGCTGAGACTACAGGCACCCACCACAACACCCAGCTATTTTTTGTTGCAGTTGTCATTGTTTAGCTGGCCCGGTAGCCTTGGTGCATGTGGCTGGCAACATAACCACTGTGTTAAGGGCACTGAGCCTTTGTCAATTTTTTTTTATGGTTTTTTTTTTTTTTTGTACAGAGTCTCACTTTGTCACCCTCAGTAGAAAGCCCTGGGGTCATGGCTTACAGCAACTCAAAATTCAGGCTCAAGTAATCCTTTTGTCTCAGCCTCCCAGAGTACTAGGACTGCAAGTACACAATGCCTGGCCATTTTTTAGAGACAGGGTCAGGGTCTCACTCTTGCTCAGGCTGGTCTTGAACTCCTGAGCTCAAGCATTCTACCTGCTTCAACCTCTTAGAGTACTAGGCTTACAGATGTGAACCACTATGCATAGCCCTAGTGGGTTGTGTTTTTGATGTCACATCTAAGAACCTAGTCTTAGATCCCAAAGGTGTTTTTTTCCTCCAAATTTTACAGGTTTACATTTAAGTTTATAATCTGTTTTAGGTTAATTTCTATATAAAACTTAGGTCAGGGTTCTCTTTTTTTTTTGCCTACAGTTGTCCCATGCTCTGGCACCATTTGTTGAAAAGGCTTTCTTTTCTCCATGGAATAGCTTTTGCACTGTTGTCAAGTCAGTTGGGTGTATTGGTGTGGCTGTATGGATTGTCACACAGGTCTTTGTTCCAGCGACCTGTGTGTCTGTCCCTCTGCTGATACCACGCTCTTGGTTACTGTAGCTATACCGTAAGTTCTGTAATCTGGTAGAATTATTTCCTCCTTTCAGTTTAAAATTTGAATTTAAAATTTAAAATTTTCTCCTTTCTTTTTAAAATTTGTCTTAGGGCGGCGCCTGTGGCTCAAAAGAGTAGGGTGCTGGCCCCATATACGGGAAGTGGTGGGTTCAAACCCAGCCCTGGCCCAAAACTGCAAAATAAGTAAAATAAAATTTGTTTTAGCTGTAAACTATCACATGAATTTTAGGATAATCTTGTCTATATATCTACAAAAATTTTGCTAGAATTTTGGTTACAACTGTGTTAAGCCTGTGTATTAATTGGAGGAGAAATGACATCTTTACCATGTTGCGTCTGGCAAGCCATGAACATGTGTCTCTCCATTTATTCAAATCTTGGATTTCATTCATCAGTGTTTTGTAATTTTCAGCATACAAGTTTACTTTTTTTTTTTAAAGAGACGGAGTCTCAATTTATTGTCCTGGTAGAATGCCGTGGCATCACAACTCACAGCAACCTCCAACTCCTGGGCTTAGGCTATTCTCTTGCCTCAGCCTCCCAAGTAGCTGGGACTATAGGTGCCTGCCACAGTGCCAGGCTATTTTTTTGTTGTAGTTCGGCCAGGGCCGAGCTTGAACATGCCACCCTCCATATATGGGGCCGGCGCCCTACTCACTTAGCCACAGGCACCGCCCTATTTTTTTGTTTTTTAAGCAATTGTAAACAGTACTTTAAATTTTTGTGTCCATCTGTTAATTGCTAGTAGGTAGAAATAGGTTTTTGTGTGTTTATTTTGTAATCTGAGATCTTCCTGCACTCCATTATTCTAGGTGTGTGTCTTTGTTTTTTGTGGATTCCTTAAGATTTCCTACATAGATAAGCCTATCAGCTGCTTGACAGACAGCCCTAGGTCCTGTCCTCAAGACTTCTGGCTTAATCAGTCTGGACATCTACACTTCTATAAAACCTTTTGGTGGGTGGTGCCTGTGGCTCAAGGAGCAGGGCACCGGCCCCATATACCGGGTGTGGCAGGTTCAAGCTTGCCCGGCCAAAAAACTGCAGGAAAAAAAAAAACCTTTTGGTGATTATTCTGATAAACAGCTGAGGCTGAAAACCACTCCTTTTTGAACTTGTCTATCCAGCTGAGGTGCCCTGAGCATTAGAGCTATGTGCTAGGAACCCACTCTGCACCTGATGGCCTATCTTGCTGTCAGGCCAGCATGGTTTAACATGCTTCGGCTTTGGCACCGAGGACAAGATCTTGGGCTCTGCCAGGTAGTTCCTGGTGCCCAAAGTACTGGCACCGTTAGCCCAGAAAAGATGAGTAAGCAGTGATTATCCATCAATCAGTTTTAATGAACAAAAAATACTGATCCATATAAAAAGGTGTTTTTGTCACTTAAGTGTCCTTATTTTCTAGATGAGAAGTTGTCTTCTCCTTGGTCTTGAATGCTTGTTTTGCCCATGGTGCCAGCATCCGAGTGCATGCTGGCTCCGTAACCACAGGGCAGGGGCTGCCCGTGGAAAGGTGTGTGGAGCGCTTGTCATCTTTTTCACACGGTAACAATGGCCTTGTTTTTGGCCTGAGAAGGCCACCAAAATCAAACTAAAAATAAATGCTGCAAAATGTGTATCACCCAGCTACCTTATGTAATCCAGGACCCAGGTGAGGGAGCCTAAACCTTCATCTGTTAGCCCGCCTCTCAGCCTGTGGTTCTTGATTTGAAGTTTTTTAAAATTCACTCTGGCATTTAAGGGCCCAGCCCTGCCAGTAGTATGTGTCTACACCAGTGAAACTTGGCATAAAGAACAGTGCAAGAGGAAGGAGACTTTAGGGAGCTTGTGGGTCATCACTGTACCCATTAGCAGGGGAGCAGCTTGAGGGGGTGCTCTTGCCTTCCCCTGCTTCTCTGCAGACTGAGCTCAGAGCTCCCTAATGTCTTGTCCTCTGGGTGGGATCGAGCAGAGTGGGTGCAGCTGCAGGTTCCAGACAGGAGCTCAAACTCCAGTAGCAAGGAGAAGTTAGAGCCTCAGGTAAACTAAGGTTACGGGCCACCGCCCCAAGAGCTGGGTGGGCCACAAGCAATCCCTAGCACCCAGGCACTTCACCCCTACAAAGAGCGCCATCAGCAGTGTGGCAGGCAAGCCTGACCAAAGCCTTTAGACAGTAGGCACAAGGTTCACTTCAAGTATCAGCTCTAGCTCATCAGTCTTAGGGCTTCTGAGGCAACCTGGTGGGGACTAGACTTTTGCCATGGGGCCTCAAGCCTGTTGAACAGCCCGCCAGCTTGTCAGAACCCACCTCCAGCGTCCTAAAGACAAAAGCTATTTAGAGCCACTCCAGACACTATCAGGGTTGCTGCTGATAGGAATGAAGTCACCTGGAAAAACCCTTGCTCATGGGCCTCGGCCAGGTACAGAAATGCCTGGCACTTGTGTGGCCTACTTTGGTTGCCTGTTATATGTCCTGGAGGGCAGCTGCTGGCCACAGGCTGACTCACCACCTGTAGGAGATTATCCTGTGCAGAGCCAGGGAAGAACCTCCCAGACTTGGGATAAGTGAACACCAAAAAATTCTAGCATCCAGGCCTGTGTAGCTTGGCCTCTTGCTCACCTCCTGCTCCATCTTGACTCCCATTCCACTCCCCTGGCCCTCATCTGGACCCGCTTTGCTTTCTGCTGCCCTGTGGTCCTTTGCCTCAGTCCTTTAGTTCCAGCCCAGCAAGGAACATGGTACCTCTTGACATATGAAGCCAAGGAGGCCTGTGTGGCCTCTGTTGGGCTCACCACTGCTGTTCCTCAGCTCTGACAGGGCTGCCTCAGAGGCCTGAGGAAGCAAAGCCCCTGAGAGAAGAAGCTGGATTGAGGAAAGAACTACAGGGTGCAGATACATGGGAGGGGAGGAGATGGAATGGTGACTACAGGTAACTTGTAGGCCTGCTGTTGTCATCAGCACCGGGTGCGGGGATGTGCAACGTGGGCTTGCAGTGCTTCCTGGATGCCCCGCTGCCAGTCTCGTGCCAGCTGCACTGGTGTCATGGAGGCCTGGGAACGAGGAAAACAGGTCAGTCCTCCCCTTCCAGTTCTGCCCAACCTGGGAACAGATGATGTCCTGAGCCCTGTTCACACTCACCATGTTCTGCACGCCGAGCTTCGCTCCATAGAGCAGCAGCAGTTTCATGGCTTTGTAGCGGCCATGCCGCACAGCCTCATGTAGAGCTGTGTCCCCTTCCTGTTGAGAAAGGGGGAAGTCATGCCCTTGCCCATCTCATCTTGCCTTCATTATGTAAGGTTGGGTAAGTGCTGTGCTTTGGGCTCATCAGGCAGTCCTCTGGTGGAGCTGCCCATAGCTGAAGACCAAGCACCTACTTTATCCTGTGCATCAATGTGGGCTCCACACTCGATGAGGTGCTCCAGGCAGTCAGAGTGCCCAGTACGCACTGCCACGTGCAGGGGAGTGCTCCAGATCTAAAAGTACATGGGGATTAGTGTTGGGTTTGGACTAGGAAGGGCTCTTCTGTTCCAGAGGGCCATACTTTCTCTCTTCCAAGCCTAGCCCACACTTGCCTGTGGCATCCCAAGTGGCATGGCCCTCACCTTGTCCCGGGCATTGACCCGGGCTCCCTGGTTAAGCAGCTCTTTAAGGATGTCCAGGTGTCCTCCACGGCAGGCCCAGAACATGGGTGTCCTGTCCAGCTATAAAACCAAAGCACTCTGACCTGCTGGCATGCCAGGTAGGGTGTTAGGCACAGGCTAGGCCAACTCCAGTTCTTACCAAGTCCCGAGGGTCCACAGTGGCACCAGCTGCCAGAAGCTTGTTCACCAGCTGGCTATGACCCTTCAGACAGGCCCAGTGCAAGGCTGTACGGTGAAGCTGGGGACAGAGACAGAAAATAAGGTAGAGGGAGTGCAGCCACCTCCCCTGTTCCCATTTCCAGGGCAAGGTCCCTGAACAGAGTTGACTATCTTCCCATCTTGCAAAAGGCCTCTTTATCTCCTCCCTCTGGAGGCACCACTGGATTCATCCCCTAAGACTAGAAACCCCTGTAGCTTCCCAGGACAGGACTAACACTCTGAAGATCGCACTCCTGCTGCTCCACCTGTGCTACCTTGTCATGGGCATTGGGGTCCCCTCCGTCTGCCAGGTACTTGTCAATCACGGCCTCCTGGTTCTCAGCAGCTGCCTTCAGGAACATCTCCAGGTCCACAGACTCCACCTGGACCTGGGGCTGCGGCTGGGTAAGTTGAAGGATAAAACCAAATCACCCCTCAAGCCTGTAGGTACCCATGACAATGTAGCTTCACCACTCTGGCCCAGTGGTTCCCAAGCAGCCAACTAAGGACCAACACAACGGTGACTCATACAACTATAGTAGAGATTCTGTGTGAACAGACATTGAGTGTGTTTGTGTGTTATGGATTGACTTATATTCCCCCACGGTTCACATGAAGGACTAATCCTAGGTACCTCAGTACAAGACCTTATTTGGAAATGGAGTCATTGTGGATGCAATTAGTTAAGATGAGGTTATGCTAGAGCAGAGTAGGCCCCCATCCAACATGGCTTGTGTTAAAGTGGGCCGTAATCTAATACTGGCATCCTTGTAAAAAGGGGATACTTTTGGACACAGGCATGCATGGTGCAGGGAGAGCACCATGTGGATATGAAGGTAGGTGGAGAGGGGGTGATGCATCTACAAGCCAAGGATCACCAAAAATGCCCAGCCAGCCAGCCAACCAACCACCAGAACCTGGAGAGAAGCCCAAAGATTCTCATAGCCCTCCAAGAAGCAACCCTGCCATCATTTCTAGCCTCAGACTTCTAGCTCCAGGACTATGAGACAGCATATTTCTGTTGTTTAAGCCATCCAGGCTGTGGCACTTTGTTAGAGAGCCTCAAACAAACTAACCTAGGGGGACTCCATAATAGCCTACAGTGTCCACTCTTCCCCCAAACTCCCACAGGGCAGAAGCCATTCCTCTGAGACTCAAGCCCTGGTATGTACATTCCCCTAGACCTGAATTCTCACCTTAACCATGGGCTCAGGTTCCCTGGGGGGGACTCTGCGTCTCAGTCGCTTTTCTTTCCGTCTTAGAACCAAGTTTTCCAAGTCAGTCAGGGTCTCCATGTTAAGTCTAGAACTGTTAAATCTTTCGAGCTGGGGACAAAAGTGGGCAGAGCTACTGGTCATGAGAGCTGACGGCGTGACAGGTTCTTGGTTAGTTTGTTTTTAGAGACAGTGGCTACTCAGGCTGTTGGACTCAGGGAGCATCTGCAATCCCTCTTTGCTCAGAGCATGCCCACAGTGGATCAGCCCCCCTGCCGTGCCCCCAGAGCACTCTCACTTTCTTCTTCTTCTCCTCTTCCAATTTCAACTTCTCCCGGGCCATGGCCTCTTGGGATGCCAACCTCCAGTCACTAGGCCAGCCTCCAGGATCAGGAACTCTGTGTCCAAATCCCAATACTTTCCTCTCCACTCTTTCTCCACATACCTATAGGAATAGAATGTAGATAAAGAACTGGAAAAACTGGCTCGGCACCTGTGGCTCAAGCGGCTAAGGTGCCAGCCACATACACTTAAGGTGGCGGGTTCAAACCCAGCCCGGGCCCACCAAACAATGATGGCTGCAACCAAAAAAATAGCCAGGTGTTGTGGCAGGTGCCTGTGGTCCCAGCTACTTGGGAGGCTGAGGCAGGAGACTTGCTTGAGCCCAGGAGTTGGAGGTTGCTGTGAGCTGTGATGCCACGGCTCTCTACCTAGGGGGATAGCTTGAGGCTCTGTTTCAAAAAAAAAAAAAAAAAGAACCGGGAAAACTAAAGGAATCCATAAAAGAGTTGTGCAGTGCCAGGGAGATGGCTGACAAGAGCTGGGATACTGTGGATTTGAGTCAGCCTGCCGCCCCCTCCTTCCCTGTTCTGAAAGCTCTGTGGTAGTCTGGAGCACTGGCAAGCTCTGTGACCCCATGGTTCCTGCTGGCTCTGCCAACTATGGTGTCAGCCAAGGCCCAGGGTGACAACTGATCACTGCCTACTCTGCTCCTGTCAGCAGGAACACAGGGTTGGGGGACGTGACACCACATCTATTTATAAGGCTGGGCTTGTGCCCGATGACACCTTAGCATCCCTCATGGGTGCTTGTCCTTAGATTCCTATCAGATCATGCCATATTGCCACCTGACTCCAAGCTCAGAGAGACAGAGGAAATGCCTCCTGGGTAAATTCCTGAGTTCAATTCTTGGCTCTTTTGATGCCTCAAACTAGCATTTACCTAAAGTGGTTGAATTATCGTGACTTGTACACAGAGCAGCGTCTACTGCAAACATCCATTTTTCTTCCTACCAGTCCCACCCCCAGGAGTTCAGGAGCTGGGAGCACTGAGGATTAAGCAATTTGTGGGGAAAGGAAAGCTTGGAATGACAAGAGTAGCAGAGGGCTTAGCCAAGTAGAACCACGCTCCCTCCTAGAGCAACTCTAGCAACTTAACAGTCCCCTGCAATTGGCCTCCCAACAGAGTCTATACCAGGCTGGAGCCAGCAGACACAGCGGTGCTTGCTGGGCAATGTGATACTCCGGGCTCCACACCCTCCTTATTCCACCTCACCAAAACTGACAGCCCAAGTATCACTGTTCCTCTCACTGCCCATGAAACACCAGCACACTTCCTTGGCCTCCCCCACCAAGGCAGCCAAATGCTAATGGACTTCCAGAAAGACAGCAATCTTGGTGCTTAAGCTAAACCCACATTTTCCAAGGTAATCTGCCATTTCCTGTTTATCGTATACCATCACAGTCCAGGGCAAAACTTGCTGAACTTGAGGGTTTTCACATCCTCTTTCCCATTTGACAGCAATCTCCCTAACCACTTTCAACCACCTCACATTGAGAATCCAGGAGACAGATCAGAAGAGAACTTCATGCTTAGTGGCTCATACATGATGATGCCCCAAGTCCTAGCTACTTGGAGGCAGAGATGGGAGGATGGCTTGAGCCCAGGAGTTTGAGTCCAGCCTGGGCAGCATAAGGAGACGCCATCTCAAAATTTTTTCTTTCTTTTTTTAAGAGTCTCACTTTGTCACCTTTGGTAGAGCGCCATGGCGTTATAGCTCACAGCAACCTCCAGCTCTTGGGCTTAGGTGATTCTCTTGCCTCAGTATCCTGAGTGGCTGGGACTATAGGCACCCACCACAAACACCCGGCTATTTTTTTTTGTTGCAGTTTAGCCAGGGCCAAGTTTGAACCTGCCACCCTCAGTATATGGGGCCGGTGCCCTACTCACTGAGCCACAGGCGCCGCCCATAAAAATTTTTCTTAAATAAAAGAAGTGCATACTCCCTTGTTTCTAAAGTTTGATACTCAGACCACAGAAAGAAGCTGGCAGCCCTCCCCTAGCCAGATGGCATCACCCTGCCAAGCTGGTCTCAGAGCACCTCCCGCCTCTGCCCCACGTCCTTACCAACTGCTGAATGCTGATGAAGTCCATGGTCCCCCCCTGCTCTCCACACTCCCCAGTGAGAGGAGCTGCATTGCTTTGTCCTTTTATATGAGCATCTCTTGGGCGTGGAGGAGCAAAAGGAAGGGTACAGAAGCTTGTACTTGGGCCAGATGACTATGTGGCTCAGTCATACTAACCAAAATACCAGTCTAGGAATGTAGCCCAGTGGGCACAGGAAAAGGAACCTTTTAGAGATAAGTTGGCTGTCTGCGCCTCTGCCATACCCCACATCTACTCAGGAGCCCCATTTAACCAACACACATCCTGGGTGACTGGGCTATCATCCCAGATTTAGGGGGAAAGGTTTCCCACTTTCCTAAGATGACCGCCGCCCACCATGAAAAAAAATCCAGCCTGACTTCCCATGGTATAGGTCTGCCCGCTTGAGAAATCTGAAAGACCCAGCTGGTTGCCCTGGCATAAGGAGACCAGAATCCCACAGTAGGCCTGGGGAAGGACAGAAACAGCTTGGCCCACTACCACAGGAAGTCTCATGGCATCTGCAAGAGGAAACCAGGCTTTACGCTATCTCTCCTTGCCTAGTTTCCAGGTTGCCCTTCCCTATGCTTCAGTGGTCTTCTTTTCCAGGGTGCCCCATTTCTCCCTCATCACTCTTGGAAGTCAACACATTACACTTGCCCCAGCATCAGGAGCCAGGCCTGTTGCTGATACTTGTGCCTATGTAAAAGTCTCCCATGCCCCCCCTGAATGTCCCAATCAGATGCTCTCCTGGCAGGGAGTGTACCTTTCCACAGGAAAAAGGAGACAGACCTGCTCCAGGTCCCCATATGTAATGATCATGAAATCCAGCCAAGAAGTAATCCGTCTCAAGCCACCAACATCAAATCTCCTAATTAAGGAGGCACATGTGCCCTACACCCAGCTGGGCCTTGAACTCAACCTTGACCTTTGAAAGGAAATTAGATAGCTAGTAAATAAGACTCCAGAACCAGAATAACATGAGCAGAGATGACCAGAATGAGAGGGAGGGCAAACTATGAGTCAAAAATGGCCAAGGCACCAAAGGGCTGACAATGGTCCCACCCAGAGCCGGCTTCTTGGTAGTGCTTCCAAGTTTTGAGAGAACGTAGGGAAATGCAGAGCTTTTTTTTTTTTTAAGTGACAGAGTCTCACTTTATTGCCCTTGGTAGAGTGCTGTGATGTCATAGCTTACAGCAACCTCCAACTCCTAGGCTTAGGCAATTCTCTTGCCTCATCCTCCTGAGTAGCTGGGACCATAGGCGCCTGCCACAACACCCGGCAATTTTTTGTTGCAGTTTGGCTGGGGCCAGGTTCAAACCTGCCACCCGTGGTATATGTAGCCAGTGCCCTACCCACTGAGCCACAGGTGCCACCCAGAAATGCAGAGCTTTTAAAAAGAATTCAGTTCTTATGCTTGAGAGTATTTTTTTCAGACAAAAGTGATTTCTTGCTTTAGGTTATGAGATAAAGTTCCCTAAAGTGAGGGCAAACAGACAAGAAAAAGTAAAATTTTAGCTCTGGACTTCACTATCTGTTCCTGATTCTAAAATTCCCCACCCTAGCTCGGTGCCCGTAGCAGTGGTTACGGCGCCAGCCACATACACCGAGGGTTGTGGGTTGGAACACAGCCTGGGCCAACTAAACAACAACTGCAACAAAAAATAGCTGGGCAGTTGTAGTGGGTGTCTGTAGTCCCAGCTGAGAATCACTTAAGCCCAAGGGGGAAAAAAAAAATTCCTGCCCTGCCCCATCAACATCTGAGGAAAAGGGCCTTTTGCATTAATAGGTTTCTTTCTTTCTTTCTTTTTGAGACAGAGTCTCAAGCTGTTGCCCTTAGTAGAGTGCCATGGCATCATAGCTCCCAGTACCTGCAACTCTTGGGTTCAAGCGATCCTCTTGCCTCAGTTTTTCTATTTTAGTAGAGACAGGGTCTCACTTTTACTCAGGCTGGTCTTTTTTTTTTTTTTGAGACAAAGCCTCAAGCTGTCCCCCTGGGTAGAGTGCCATGGCATCATAGCTCACAGCAACCTCCAACTCCTGGGCTCAAGCGAGTCTCCTGCCTCAGCCTCCCAAGCAGCTGGGACCACAGGTACCCGCCACAACGCCTGGCTATTTTTTTGGTTGCAGCCATCATTGTTGTTTTGGCGGGCCTGGGCTGGATTCAAACCTGCCACCTTAGGTGTACATGGCTGGCGCCTTAGCCACTTGAGCCACAGGCACCGAGCCCAGGCTGGTCTTAAACTTGTGAGCTCAAGCTATCCACCCACCTTGGCCTCCCAAGTACTAGGATTACAGACATGAGCCACAGCACCTGACCAACATTAATAGGTTTCATCTAAAATTCTCAGCAGACAAGCAGCCTGTCCAACATGAAACGGGTACTGTGACTTTAAAAAAAAAAGTGGGGGTGGTTGTGCTGTGGCTCAAAACTGCAAAAAACCAAAACAAAACGAAAAGAAAACTCCTTATAAAAAGTTCAAATGTAAACATGATGATTAAGACCTTCTTGACTAGTCTTGCCACAGTGACCTAGAAGTGGTGACATCCTCCTGCCTTTCCCTCTGTATATTTTGTGTCTGTACATCTAGCCATTTCTGTACATGTGTTTGAAGAAGCATCATGCTGTGGAAACACTGAGTACTTGTTCCATGCCCGCAAACACTGCACTCAGCGGCACTGCACAACGTGACCTTCCCTACTGGGGAGCAAATAGGCTGTTTGGCCCTATGTTTTTTTACATTACACCCCAAGCTCTAATGCACATCTCTGTAAATGGCCCTGTGGATAAGCATCTTTGTAACCATGGAAGAAAATTTCTCTTAGAAACTACAGAGAAGGCTCCGTGCCTATGGTTCAAGCAGCTAAGGCGCCAGCCACATACACCTGAGCTGGTGGGTTCAAATCCAGCCCAGGCCTGGCAAACAATGACAGCTGCAACAACAAAAAATAGCCAGGCCTTGTAGCAGGTGCCTGTGGTCCCAGTTACTTGGGACGCAGAATTGCTTAAGCCCAGGAGTTGGAGGTTGCTGTGAGCTGTGATGCCACAGCACTCTACCAAGGGGGATAACTTGAGGCTCTGTCTCAAAAAAAAAAGAAACTACAGAGAAGGCTCGGTGCCCGTAGCCCAGTGGTTAGGGTGCCAGCCATATGCACCAGCTTTGAACCTGGCCAGGGCCTGTGAAACAACAATGACAGCTGCAACAAAAAAATAGCTGGGTGTTGTGGTGGGCGCCTGTAGTCCCGCTACTTGGGAAGCTGAGGCAAGAGAATTGCTTGAGGCTCAGTGCCCATAGCACAGTGGTTATGGTGCCAGCCACATACACTAAATGTGGCAGGCTCAAACCCGGCCTGGGCGAGCTAACCAATAATGACAGCTGCAACAAAAAATAGCTGGGTGTCATGGCAGGCACCTGTAGTCCCACCTACTTGGGAGGCTGAGGCAAGAGAACTGCTTAAGCCCAAGAGTTGGAGGTTACTGTGAGCTGGAACTCCACAGCACTCTGTCGAGGGCAACATACGAAGACTCTGTGTGGGGGTGGGAGTGGGGAGAAGTTACAGAGAAATCAAACTATTGTCCCTACTCAGTTAAATGTAAATAGATATTGCCAAACTGCTATCTACAGTGGCTATACCAATTTCCACAAACAGATACCAACACAATTAAGACAAACAGCAGCATGAAAGAAAAAGAGGGGAAAAAAAAGTATATAAATATATGTATATATTAAAAAAAACAGAGTCAGTAACCAGAATATAAACGACTCATATGAATCAATGGAAGGAAAAATATTTTAAGAATAGGCAGGAAGTTCACAGAAAACAGGTAATTAGGACTAGTAGTTAGCAATGCAAAATAAAGTAACAGTACTTTTCTACCTATCAGCCGGCTGAAATGAAGAAAATCACAGTATGAACGCCAGCGCTGACGAGTGCAAGGAGCAGGCCAGCTCAGGCTGCAGGCTGCAGATGCTCTCAAGCCTGAAGCTCACACATTGAGTCTGCATGACTACGAGGCAGGTCCTATAGGTAAGGAAGCTGAGGGACAGACAGGTAAAGTGACTTGTGTCACGGTCATTCAGCTAGAAAGCAGCTTTTGTCTCATATTCCTCATTTTCTTCTAATACTTACATAGCTTTATTTTTATGTTTGTTTTTTATACTTGTAATTTTTCTTTGTATGTAGGATAAAGATACAACTTTATTTGTCTTTTCTGAATGGACAGATGAACTCATTTAGAATATGCTCATCTGTAGGAAACACCTCCAGTCCCACAAATCTACTCCCTGGCCTCCACAGCAGCCCAGCTGGGCTCTTCGTGTCCTCCAGCCAGAGCTTCCCGTCCCACAGCACAGATGCTGACCAAGGTGGGGCTCGGAGAGCTGGTCTGTGTTCCCTTCAAGGGCAGCCCAGATAGGAGAGTGGTGACTCAGCTGGCCAGAAGGTTCCGCAGGTCACTGTTGAAGGGCAGCAGGTCACATGCTAGCCGTGCTTTCCGGTCCCGGACAGCCTTCAGGGCTGGGCTGTGTTGCAACAGGAGGGAGCAAATGTCCATGTGACCCTTTTCTGCAGCCTGTGGAGAGAGAGTCCTAATTAAAAAGCACACTCCCCTGCCCCGCACTGGGCTCCACTACCTCTTACTCTACTTCTGAGGGCCTGGTGCTTTTAAAGAAGAGGTTTTATGGAAAGGGAGACACTGGCTGTTTTAGTAGATTTCCGACCAAATTTGGGTATATTGGTGGAGTATCCCAGTGCTATTTGGCAATGAGTCTGAGTTTTTCTTTCTTGTGTCCTTTTGCCCAGTAGCCATTTTGTCTTTGGCCAAAACACAGGCTTGGCACCTGTGGCACAGGCTTGGCTCAAGTGGCTAAGGCGCCAGCCATGTACACCTAAGGTGGTAGGTTCAAATCCAGCCCAGGCCTGGCAAACAATGACAGCTGCAACCAAAAAATAGCCGGGCATTGTGGCAGGTGCCTGTGGTCCCAGCTACTTGGAAGGCTGAGGCAGGAGACTCGCTTGAGCCCAGGAGTTGGAGGCTGCTGTGAGCTGTCATGCCACAGCACTCTATCCAGGGGGACAGCTTGAGGCTCTGTCTCAAAAAAAAAAAAAAACAAGCACAGGGCTCAGCGCTGATAGCACAGTATAGCACAGTGGTTATAGCACCAGCCACATGCACCGAGGGTGGGGGGTTCGAACCCAGCCCGGGCCAGCTAAATGACAACTGCAACAAAAAAATAGCCGGGCATTGTGGCAGATGCCTGTAGTCCCAGCTACTTGGGAGGCTGACGCAAGAGAATTGCTTAAGCTCAAAAATTTGAGGTTGCTATGAGCTGTAATGCCATGGTACTCTACCAAGGGTGACACAGTGAGACTCTGTCTCAAATAAATAAATAAAAACAAGCACAGAACCTTGGATCTCTAAGCATTTTTCACAAACATTCACCTTTTATCCACAGGGCACTGGGCATAAGATGCATCAGACTCTGCCCTACCCTTTGGCAACTTTTAAATGAGTTGGGAAAAATAGGTTCCCAGGTTTTTCTTCTTTAAGACAGATGATCCCAATCTGAACATACAGTTCTAGCCCCCCTCATCATGTTAAATGATTTATGTAGATTATCTTGTTTTTTAACTTCCACAATATCCTTTGAGGTAAGAACCATTATTATTCTCATTTTACAGATAAAGAAATATAGGCTTATATAAGTTAAATAATTTCCCTGATGGGATTGGTGGCTGTAATCCTAGCACTCTGGGAGGCTGAGGTAGGAGGATCACTTGAACTCAAAGTTCAAAACCTGAGCAAGAGTGAGACCCAGTCTCTACTAAAAATAGAAAAAATTAGCTGAGTGTTGTGGTGAGTGCCTGTATTCCCAGCTACTTGGGAGGCTGTGGCCAGGAGGACCATTTGAACCCAGGAGTTTAAGGTTGTTATAAGCTAGGCTGAGGCCAGGGCACTCTAGTCTGGGGAAAAGAGTGAGACTCTATCTCAAAAAAAAAAAAGTAAAGTAATTGCTCAAGGACATATAACTTGAGAATGGCATCCTGGAATTCTAAACCAGGTGTGTCTGACTTCAAAGTCATAATTCTTAGTAACTATGGTAATCAACCACTCTATTCCCTGCTCCTCCCAACAGACAAATTGATGGACAGGGGCTTTTGAGAAATATCAAAATTAATACTAGTAGCAATCACTATCTCAATTTTGAACCCAAATCTTTATTTATTTTTCTTTTTTTTTTTTGAGACAGAGCCTCAAGCTATCCCCCTGGGTAGAGTGCCATGGCATTACAGCTCACAGCAACCTCCAACTCCT